CTAACAAGTACGTATTTTGGTAACACCACGTTGGGAAGTACACAATTCTTTAGAGAAGGCTAGCACGTTTTTGAGATCGATTTAAACTTTCTACCACTGTTTACAAAACTTACTTAATTGAACGTCTAAATTAACAATATTAAAAAATTTTGAGAAAATTTTTTTTCTAAATCGTCACTGTGAACTTTAGGTTTTTTTAGATATTTCGATAAAACACAGAAAAAACGCGCGTAATGATGATTATTTGATACATTTTTCATCTCGGTAAATTTCATTGATTGCCGGATAGTAATCGATGAGTAAAATTCTGTTACTGATTTGCTTATATATATATATAAAATACAGATCGTTACCTATGTAACGAGTTCTCATTCGGCTTGACTTATTAAATTAATCTCCTTCTGTAAATAATGAATTTTTGGACATTACATGCATATGCGAATACGCTATATATACGGGATCATTAAGATCATCAAGATAATCGTGCGATAATTACGTTCATTCATAATTTCTTTCAGTTCCCCTCAATTAATTTTCTCGTCTCCCCGTATGAAAACATCTCAGAAAATTTATTCATCAATAGCGGTAATCTCGGGAAATTGAATTAATGCAATAGAGGAAAAGAGAAAGAAAGGCGTGAAAACAAAATTTATGTAAATCCTTCTTTTGTTCAATTATCTATCGCTTCGTTGTCACGGTTCGTGTAAAACCGCCACGGAGCGGAGCAAATCGACATGCATTATTTATACGTCGTTGGGGGTGCCTCTATGGGAAACTTTGTTTCGGGGGTAAAAACGCCAATATAAATTTTTGTGGGAATTTCGGTGTACTACGCATATCCACATACATTACCGTACGACCAGCCATTAATTAGATCACTTCCGGTCTTACCGTAAAAAAATCACAGCTCAATTCTGTTCACATACAAATATAACATATTTGTTATAATAACAAATTCAAACATATTGTTCTATAAAATTTTCTGTAAATCTATAACACTTTTTACACCAATATATTTTCAAGTCACATCACACACC